TAATTCTGTTCACTTTATCATTTGTGTTTCAAGAAGATGTATGATTAACTGTAATTATTTAATTATTCAATAAATTATCAGGATAATTATGATGTTTAATTCAGTTTACTTTATCATTTGTGTTTAAGAGAATGTATAATTAACTGTAATCATTTAATTGTTTGATAAATTACTAGTAATAAGTATAATATGTTCCTTCAGCATCACTATTTGCAGAATTTTAATAATAAAATAAAAGCTCTATATTCACTAACAATATCTGGCATTATACTGTATGCTTTATTAATATCATCAGTCTTTACGAATCTTTAATACTGATTTTAAAATAAGTTTCTATATCTTATACATGTTTGCTTTATTATAAAAATTTACTAGTCATTTTCTTTTGGAGTTTGTTTTACAATAATAAGTAAATTCGGTCCTAATAATTCAAAGATGAGACATCTATAATTATCAAAATTATAATAGGTGATCTATAAAATGTTAATAGATATAAATAATATATATAGCATATTACAGAAAATAAGCAACTCTAGTTGTTAAAACTAAAATTTTGATGAAGGTTATGTTTTACTAATAAAATTGAATCCAAATATAAGTAATATCTTCACTTTGGCTTAAAAAAGGTTTCATTTTTTGCAACATTTTGATAATAAATTCAATTTAATTTTACATCATTTATACAGTTTAAAGTACTTTTTAAAAAAATAAAAACCAATCATAATAAAGTAAAAAAAAACATATAGAAGGTTTCATTAGAGTTGTAAAACTCCATAGTTAAAAATAAGCTCTAATTCTTGTCCATTTAAAAAAATTAGCTTTGTAATAAGTTGATTTTATTGGGTTTTGAGAAGTTATTGCTATACTAACTTTTTTAAATGGATGAGAATTAGATCTTATTTTTGACTATAGAGTCCTACAGCTCTAATAAAACCTTCTATATGTTTTTTTTTTACTTTATTGTAGCTGGTTTTCATTTTTTAAAAAAGTACTCTAAACTGTATAAATAATATAAAAGTAAATTGAATTTATTAGCCAATCAGACAAACTTCTGCTTATAAACTTTATCATATATAAGAATACAATCTGATATTCAGATTAAAGATTTTACTTGAACTAAAATTTTTAGAAAACTTTTTTTTTATTGTTATTTATATGTAATTATTGGCCAATCAAATTACTTTCTATGCAAACTTATTCAATAGCATAATCAGGTTTGTTATTAGTAACTTATCGTGATAAGTTACCACAGTAAATTACCATAAGTTACTACAAATACTTATTTGAAAGTCTGTATATTATCAAAAAATTTCATAATGATAAGTAATTCATAATGAAATTAACAGATATAAATTACAGAGACTTTTAGAATAAAGCATAGATTACTTCTACAGTAACTTACCAGTAACTTATATTTGTTCTTTTCAAGTTTAATTTCACAATGATAACAATACTAATACTATATGTCCATTAGCAACATTCATTTTTCATCCTTTTTAGCTCAAAATTCATTATTATAACAGTATTCAGCATTATATGTTCTATCAGTATTACCTATTTGCAGATTTTAAATAATAAATAAAAGTTTATACTCATCATTCTTGATAATACCTAGCATTATAAGTTCTATCAGTATCACACGTTTTTTCAAGTTCAATTTTATGATAACAATATATAGTATTATATGTTTTATTAGTAGCACCTATCTTCAGATTTAATAATAAATAAATGCTCTATATTTGTCTTTTTTAATTCAAGTTCCATGATAATAATAATATTTCGCATTATATGTTCTATTAGTGGCACCTATTTTCAGATTTTCGACAATAAATAAATGCCTTAATAAAAATATCTGGCATTATATTTTTTTTAGCACCAATTCTTTATTAGTCTTAGATTTATTGATTTAAATAATACAATGTTGTGGATTATTTTTTTAGCAATTAGATTGTTAATATCGGTATATAGTTATGTATAAGCATATCGATATATATATAAATAAATAATATTATGTAATTGTTACAATAAATATTACCATATTATTTATATTATATGTATAACATTTATAGTTTAGCATTTTACTAATATCGAATAATTTTATTTTAAAAAAATTCATTATATTGCATTTAATTAGATATTGATAATTTTACTATTTAAACAATGTTGAAAGTATGAAAAAGTATATCTTATCCATCTTTCATAATCTTTACTCATAACAATATTAAATGCATCATTCATTTTATTCAAAATTATTTCTTGATCTCTTAACCGATTTTTAGTAATAGAATCTTTAATTTTGAAAAACAATTTTTAATTGAATTTAAAAAAAGAGAATAAGGTAGTAGATATAAAATTTGGTGTGTAGTATCTTTGACAATTTCTTTAACTATATCTGATTTATAAAAATAAATATTATCCATTACTAAAATTTCCTATTTGAAATAATTCTAAGAAGTTCATCAATAAAGGTGGCAAAAATTTCTAAATTTACTAAACCTAAAATAGACTTATAATGCAAAACCTCATTCTCATTAATTGCAGCAATAACAGAGATATTTTTCTCTCTGTTACTTATGACTTTACGAATAGCAGGCTGACTATGGCATGCATGACCTCTTGATTTTGAAAGATGTAAATTAAAGCCAGTTTCATCAATATAGACCATATCTCTATAAATGTTAATATTTTTATTATAGATCTTTTGTATATATTCTTTTCTTTTTTGAATTGTTTTAGAAGTATTACAGCTGTCTGGTATAACTGTAAGTCATTTTAAGATAAAGCCAATATTTGTTACATATTGTGCAATAGTTCTATCATTTATCTAAAAATAAATATAGACAAAAGAAATTTATTAGTTTATACATAATATGTAAGATTAATTATAAAACAAAAATTAGCTTAGTTTAAAATTAGAGTATAGTTAGTTCTAGCATTAGGAATAGTTTGGGTTATGCTAAAATTTTGCAAGAAATATTTGTTTCATATAGACAAAAATTTTAATTTAATGTGTATTATTGATAAGCTTGTCAATGAAGTGACATAGCATTCATTATTGCGAGATCAGATGACTTTGCAAATTACATGTATTGTTTTAGTTGTAACCTTTTATGGTCATGTTCATTATAGCATTTGTTTCTTGTTGAATGCAGATATTGTGGGTAAATCTATAATAGGTGTTTCTTAACTGGTTATAGTAATTGTTTTTTTAAGATAACAAATAACTGATAGTAAAGAGTAGTTTATTGTTTAATGTTTAGGATTATGTATATGAATAGTAAGCTAGTATTATGATTGCATATGTGAATAGCAAGTGAAGGGGTGGTAGGTGTGCTTAGTCAGGTTAAGGGCTATTTAAGAATTATTTTTCAGGTAAAAGTTAGTTATTTTTTTGTTCACTATTGCTCATCTTAGTGAAGACTGGCTCTATTGGCTGTCCCTGCCTACCTATTGTTAAGTGGCTCTGTGACTTGAAATAGTGCAATGACCACAACAAGCTTATGATATTGCAGTTCAAATAAGCTTGGCTCTAAGGCTGCATTAGCAGTACAGAGATCATGCTCAATTAAGTATACATTAGTATTATAGACTCAATTCTCTGTATATTGCTATCTAATCTGCTAGTTCTTTTCTTAGAGTATGTTTTATTAACAAATTGATTTGTAATTGGTCTCATTACTGTTAAACCTGAGAGATAACAGTTTTGAAACTGTTCAGACTAGGGTTCGAAGGTTTAAAGATATGAGATTATATTCAAGATGGTAACTTTAGTACAATTAGGAGTCTTCAGGATAGTGGACCTATTCCTATATGTTTTTTCTTTGTTTTATTAATAAAGTCTCTGATCAAGCAATAATAAATACAAGTAACTCTCGATATAAGAAATGATCAATATAAGAAACTCTTGGTATAAGAAAAATTTTACAAGTTCCATTTGAAAATTTTAAGTCTTTAATATAAGAAGGATTTGGATTAGATCCAGTGACTTTTATATCAAGAGTCAGTTGTAATATTTTATCATTAATTTGTATATTATTTTTATATAACTATGATATACTTTTGAAGCTGACAGTATATATATAAATTGAAAGTATCAGTATATTTGAATATTTGAAAATTGATCTACTAATTTTTGTGCTAGATCTGAAATAGAAATTTATAGTTCTTCTTTAATCGCAGTTTCTAAAAATTCTTTATGTTGTTCATTTAAAATAGATCTTTTGTCACCACCTCGTGATTTGAAAGCAATTCGATTTTCTTGATCAAAAACTTTGATAATACTTTGTACAGTTAAAGCTGCTAATTAAAAATTAGCTGCAACCTCTTAAATTAGTAAACCTTTATTATTAACATTATCTATAATTTGGTTTTTTATTTTTAAAAATTTTTTTTGATATTTAGGTTTTTTTTTTTTTTTTTGTTAAAACATTATTAGGATGAACATGTAAAAATTTTTTATATTTATATAAAACCTTTTTTACTATTTATTAAAAAAATTTTAATAAAAATTTTAAGAATTCTAATATGCTGTAATTAATAATATTAGGGGTTTTCAAAATTAAAATCAAAGAATATTATTTTATTTTTTGATTTATATTCAACATAATAAAAATACTATTAAAAAAATCCTACTTATTTTTGAAATACACTACTTATTTGGATCTTATCAAAATATTAATTATGTACATACATAGTCAATAAACATTAAAGAATTGTAATTAACATGTTTTTATGAATAACGAGCAATCTATACTAATATTTTAATACTGTGAAGATTTAATTGTCTGCTTTTTATATTTTGTGATTTCAATGATGGGTTTAGTATGTTTATTATTGCAAAAGTAAATAGTTAAGTTAGTGATTTGCAACAATGGGTAATTAATAATTTCAACAGTAGAACAGTTAATTTTAACAATAGGCATTGGTAATTTTAAAAATTGGTTAGTAATTTGCTTATTGAATAAGTGCTTTTAAAATTTATTAATAAGTTAATTTTAATAGTGAATAAATTAGTAGTTTAAACAATAAGTTAATGATTTAAGTAATGATAAAAATTTTAATAAGTGGATTTAAGATTTTGTAATATAAGTTCGTAACTTAGTAGTGACTTTAACTGTAGGTGTTTGTTTTAGAAGTATAGTGGCTTTGACAGAAATGAGTAGTGATTTTAATAGTAGATAAAAAATATACAAGATGTGACAATTATGATAACACTGACCAATCAGAAATTAGATTTTGTGACCACATGCACTTTTTTCTCAACTCTATATACTTCATGATTTTATCACTTCATCTCTGGTACTTTGTGATTTCATCACTTCATCCTTGGTACTTTGTGATTTCATTACTTTATCCTTGATACTTCATAATTTCATTACTTTATTCCTGATATTTGTGATTTCATCATTTCATTCCTGGTATTCATAATTTCATCACTTTGTTCCTGATAAGAAAATTGATTATTAAATTTCTTTTTTGGCATAACATTATACAATTGTTTGAAATTCATATTTTTGTGTAATCTGTATCATTCACACACATATTGCTTCATATCTATATTATCCAGATCACACATCTCAAAATTATTTATGCATCTATTCTAGTCTTAATTTCCAACTAGAGTTTGCATGGGCTGGGCTATCTATAAGGCATCTATAAACTGGTCCAATGTGGGCCAGGCTTAGTTCAAAAATTTTGTTTATGGATAATTAAGTCCAATCCAAAGATCTATAGATAGCTCATAATTAATCTGATTGACCAAAATCATAAATCTCATCATTTTCCTTTTCATATAATGTCAAAATTTTGAACCCAAGCTTAATTTAAAAATAAACTATTTACAGTTTGTGCTCTTGGAATCTATGGATTATATCATGTAATTATGAGCTGGGCTTGGATATATCCAATTAAATATAGATTTGTTCTGAACTTCATCCAGCTCGGTCATGCAGAACTCAAAACTATGGTTATAACTAAGTCACAACATTTATCTTAACTTATAGACACAATATCTGGCCTGATTTAAGATTAGAGTTTAAGTATACTTTAGTAATGCTAGTCATTGTTATATTATAAGCACATAATCTTGTGCCTATAGAAATTGCCTTAATTTATTATACAGGGATCATTAGTATAGAATAGTATAATAGTAAATTTAAAAGTATATAATCAGTTTAAGAGTATAGTAAGATGTGATTAATTAATAATGTTATGAAGAAGTCAAAATGTATATATATAAGTAAAACAAGATTAAATAAAGTATGATAGCTTTTGTTTCAAGTAATCGATTGAACCAAATAAAGTAATATTTATCTTATTTTTTAATAATAAGTTTTTCATGCTTACTATTCGTTTAGCATTAGATACTAATTAACCTATATAAGAATAACCATATGAAGAGTAAATTATATTACAATACATTTCTGATTTAAGTATAACTATGTTATGCAGCTATCTAATTTATTAAATAAGTTGTCAACTATATAACTAAATATATATTTATTATAAGCTTACCTATTGTGCACATCATAATAAAATATATTACGCATATTGAAAAATATTTGAATATATATGAGTGCTGGCAAGAAAAAAACTTAAACTAAAAATAATAAAATGGCCCACATATATAATAATTCCAGGAATCTTACATTTCATCCAGATCTTAAGTAATGCTTATAAAAGTATGACCATGACCTAAAACCATACAAGCAATTTATAATGCTCTTTCACTACTTAGCAAACATATTTTCATATCTTATTTACCAGTATCAATAAATCTATAAACTTGTACGAATTTAGTTGTTAACTTGTACAAATTTGATTGTCAACTTGTATGAATTTGGTTGTTAGTTTGTACGAATTTGATTGTCAATTTTTGTATAAATTTGATTGTTAGTTTATATGAATTTGACTGTCTGCTTGTATAAATTTGACTGTTTACTTGTATGAATTTGACTGTCTGCTTGTATAAATTTGACTGTCTGTTTGTATGAACTTGATTTACAAATTCTGTAAGATTAAAATAATAATTTAGGCATCTAAGTATAACTTAGTAAATTAATACAAATTACAGATTCAAAGAGTTTAAAGTAGAACATCCAAGCAAGAGTATTAGGTATAGCAATTGGTAAAGAACCTTCAGACAGACTTCTTAAATAGGTAATATAGAAAAGTTATATATATAGCCAATTGTACTCTCTTCTATAGTAGTTCATTGAATCATATTACCAATAAGTCATTAATACAAATCAAAAGCTAAAGAAATCATCTTAATATCAAAAAAAAAAGTTTAATATAAGCATATATTTATATATAGTCAAAGTCAT